CAATACCAGCAAGTCAGAACAAATAATTCAGTCCAAGACTGCCATAACTAAGATTGGAATTTATTAGTCAAATTTAATCTAAACCACTCCAAGTTATCAGTTTGCAGAAAACTCCTAGGAATTTTACCATCAAACCAAATCTCCCAAATGCTTCTAGCAGCAGAACAGTCTCTCATCACATGCATCAATGTTTCATGCCCAGCAGCACAAGTTGGACACAGAACCTCCCCCCCACTCCATAGGGAAGTGATACTCCTAACAGACAATTTATTAAGACAGGCTAACCAGATAAAAACAGTCATTCTAAAAGGTCCCTTCCACTGCCAAACAGCAGCCCATATTTTGTCCCTTTCATACTTAGGATTCAAAAGTAGGCAATAAGCATTTCTCACAACTGATTTCCCAGAAGCAAGATTTTTCCATTTGAGCCAATCCTCAGAACAGTTAGCATCAGGAATACTAATTTTACTCAGATTGCTGCAAGATGGTCTGTCTAAGAACTTACTCAGGTAATTCCAATCCCAGTCTTCACCTTTACAGTCAACCACTTCACACACCTTAAGGGTAAGGTCAGTTATTGGTGGTTTGATAGTAGCACTATCCAGCAAAGTCTCCTGCCTGCCTCCTCACATGTTAGTCCAAAATAAAACAGATTTGCCATTCCCTACCACCCATTCCAGGTTTTGATCAATCTTTGCTCTAGCTGAGACAATATTCTTCCAAAGAATTGAGTCACTACTCTTAGCTGTTAACCCACGGCTAGGATCCAGATTTCTGCCATACTTCCCTAATAGGACTTGAGCCCAAAGACTGTTCTTATTCTCTATCAACTTCCAGGCCAGCTTGTGCATAAAGGCTTCATTTTGAGTCCTTAGGTTGATAATCCCCAAACCTCCACACACCTTAGGCTGACACATCCTCTCCCAAGCCACATAATGAGCTTTTCTTTTATCATCCTCATCTCCCCAAATAAATCTTCTTTGCATTCTCTCAATATCATTACACACATGGACTGGAATCAAATTATTCTGCATATGATAGGAAGGAATAGATGATATAACACTCTTTGCTAAAGTGATCCTCCCAGCCATAGAGAGGCATTTGGACTTCCATCCCTGGAGTCTAGACTGAACTCTAGCAATAACATCTGAGTAGTGATCCCTGTGAATTCTGCCATGTCTCATTAATGCTCCTAAGTACCTGCCAAAGTTCTTCACCACCTTGAACCCACTCGCTTCAGCAATTGACTGTATAATATCCTGATCAGAGTTTTTAGATAAGTATATACAAGATTTCTCAAAACTCACACATTGACCTGACATCATGGAAAACTTGTCAAGACAGTTAACAACACACTTGAGTTGGATTAAAGAGGCTTCTGCAAATAATATTATGTCATCAGCAAATAAAATATGTGATATCTGTGGCCCAGATCTCCCAGCTCTCATTGGGCACCAAGCTTTACTCTCAACTTCATCTCTAATCAAATGAGACAACTTTTCCATACCTAGAACAAAAATATAAGGGGATAGTCTTCCTTCTCGAGTGTTTGGGTGTGTTGTCTTTGTTCATATTCATAAACAGCATCGCAGTAAGTTGGATCCTAGGGCTCTTAAATGTGTCTTCCTTGGATATGCTCTTGATAAGAAGGGCTATAAGTGCTATCACCCTGGAAGTCGAAATTTTTTTGTTTCTATGGATGTTACATTTCAGGAATCTGAGTCCTTTTTCCAAGGTCCTCATCTTCAGGGGGAGAATAATTCACCAGAAGACTCATCACCTTCCTTCTTTGAATCTTCAGTGTCTACTCCTTCACCTGTGTCAGTGTATCCTCCTCTTGGTCTTGTTCCTCCTGTGTCTGTTCCTCCTGTGTCTGATCCTCTTGTGAGTAATCCTCTTGTCACTGATTCTCCTGTGATTGATACATCAAGTACACCAGAGATACGGAAGGTTATGACACCTGAAAGAAGGAAACAACCCATATTGTCTCAGCAGCAACCTCAATCGTCTGAACCACTGGTAAGTCCTGAATCTCATATTTCTGATCATGATGTTAATACTTCTGATGACTTACCCATTACTACTGATTCTGATGATTTACCCATTGCTCTTAGAAAAGGAAAAAGAGCTTGTCCCAAGAAATCTTGTCCCTTATGTCCCTCTTGTACTCAATACCCTATCTCCCATTTTGTTTCCTCTGCTAATCTTTCTGTGCAGCACAAAAGCTTTGTTTTAGCACTAGACTCTATTGCAATCCCAAAATCAGTACATGAAGTCTTGAAAGATAGAAATTGGGCTCAAGCCATGCAAGAGGAGATGAATGCTTTGGAGAAAAATAAAACATGGGAGGTTATTGATAGACCCAACGGAAAGAAAGCAGTAGGGTGCAGATGGGTTTATGCCCTGAAATATAATTCTGATGGCACTCTTGAGAGATGCAAGGCTCGATTAGTGGCCAAAGGTTACACTCAAACCTATGGCATTGATTATGAAGAAACCTTTGCTCCAGTTGCAAAGATGAGTACAGTAAGAATCTTGTTATCCCTTGCTGCCCATTACAATTGGGATATAAATCAATTTGATGTGAAAAATACTTTCCTCAATGGTGAGTTAAAAGAAGAAGTCTACATGGAAATCCCGCCTGGTTTTGATTCTGTGAAGGGGGAAAATAAAGTTTGTAGATTAAAAAAGGCCTTGTATGGATTGAAGCGGTCACCTTGTGCTTGGTTTTGAAGGTTTACTAAGGTTATGATGACCTTAGGATACAGACAGAGTTAAGGAGATCACACTCTTTTCTTCAAGCACTCCCAAAATGGGAAGCTTACTGTGCTCCTTGTATATGTTGATGATATTATTATCACAGGTGATGATTTTGTGGAGAGACAGATTCTGCAACCACAGCTTGCCTCTGAGTTTGAAATCAAAGACCTTGGGAAACTGAGATATTTTCTAGGGATAGAAGTAGCTCATTCAAGCAAAGGAATTTTTATCAGCCAAAGGAAATATGTTTTGGATCTTCTCAAAGAAGCTGGAAAGCTCAGGTGTAAACCCTCTAATACTCTTATTGAGCAGAATCACAAGATGGGCTATGAAGAAGAGAGTCCTCCAGTTGATAAAGGACAATACCAAGGGCTAGTTGGGAAATTGATATATCTGGCCCATACTAGACCAGACCTCGCTTATGCTGTTAGTGTTGTCAGTCAGTTTATGCACGATCCAAAGGAAAAACACATGCAGGCAGTAGAGAGAATTCTTCAGTATCTTAAAGGTACTCCTGGTAAAGGATTGTTATTCCGACGTGATGGAAATTTATCTTTAGAAGGCTACACAGATGCTGATTATGCTGGATCCGTGACTGACCGTCGTTCTACCACTGGTTATGCTGTTAGTGTTGTCAGTCAGTTTATGCACGATCCAAAGGAAAAACACATGCAGGCAGTATAGAGAATTCTTCAGTATCTTAAAGGTACTCCTGGTAAAGGATTGTTATTCCGACGTGATGGCAATCTATTTTTAGAAGTCTACACAGATGCTGATTATGCTGGATCCGTGACTGAGCGTCGTTCTACCACTGGTTATTGCATGTTTCTTTGCGGTAACTTGGTGACATGGAGAAGTAAAAAACAAGATGTGGTTGCCAGATCAAGTGCAGAAGCTGAATTTCGAGCTATGGCTCAAGGCATTTGTGAGTTACTGTGGCTGAAAATTGTACTTGATGATCTCAAAATAAAATGTGAGGGACCTATGAAGCTGCTATGTGATAATAAGTCCGCTATTTGTATAGCTCATAATCCAGTTCAACATGATCGGACTAAACATATTGAGGTCGACCGCCATTTCATCAAAGATAAACTTGATAGCGGGTTGATTACCACTCCATACATTCCCAATGGGCGTCAATTAGATGATCTATTAACAAAGGGGCTTCCTTCAGACAGATTTCAAGAACTTACTAGCAAGCTGGGAATGATAAATATCTATTCCTCAGCTTAAGGGGGAGTGTTGTAAATAATTATTATTTAGTTATTATTTAGTCATTTATTTGTTGTATTGGGCCAAGCCCATTAGGTCAAAATTAGGTCAAGTATTCTTTATAAATAGAGAACCCTTTGTACAGATTATATACAATTCAATAAATTTTCAAATACCCTTTTTCTTTCAAGTCATGCCTTTTGAGATTTTCCTAGGTAAATGAAGTTTGGTTTTTAGAAAATTAATGTTTGGTTCAACAGCTTTTGACCAATACCCATCTATATGAAATGCATGACTTTTTGAGAAAGATAGTAATTTGCACTGTTTAGAAACCCGATTTGAGGGTGGTTTTTTGAGAAAACCCGGGTAAAGCACTGTTTACACACTTTTTGTCATATATTTCCCTGGTAAAATTTTGTCAAACCAAACTACTTTTTTTTAACTTCCCCATCTATTCAACTTTCTCTATGGATACCTAATAATTACATTTCTCTAGTATTTTTAAAATTTATTTTGACTCTTTTCTATGTACTAAGAAAAAAACTCTTTTCTAATCACTTTTTCTCCCGACCTCCTTGTACGGAGCAAAAGTGACAGCTATTGTAGCAGTCACGCAACCATTATCGTGTGACGGTGTGAGAGATTGGTAAAAAATTGAATCTTGATAATGATAACCTTCGATTCCAACACGAGATAAGAATTATTTTAATTTTAAATGAATATTTTGATCATAAAGGTTTGCATTTGTCAAATCCAAAAAGGCATATCGGCACAACAAACAATCTTAAATAAAAAAGAACTATTAAGTCTTGCCTATAATGTGTTCAAAGATGCTAGTAAGCTCCTTCAGGTAATCCACAAACACATCAATTTCATCCTGCTCATTATTAGCATCAAGCAAATTTGTGGCCTTGGTGATTGCGGAACTGATCTTCTCCTTTTCTTGTGAGCAAAGCTTCAAATTCATATCCTGGTTCTTCAAAGCACTCCTCATCTTGTAAACGTAATAATCCAAAGCATTCATTGCATCAACCTTCATACGGAAGTTCTTTATCTTCGGCCTTGTAATTCTCAGCTTCTTGCATCAATTTTTTTATTTCTTCTGTTGACAGCCTTTCTTTGTCAATGGTTATGGTAATCTCGTTCTCATTTCCAGTGGCATTTTCCCTAGCAGAAACAGTCAGGATACCATTTTCATCTATAGCAAAGCATACATCAATAGGATGATGGCCGCCGAGAGTAGGAGGCAAGCCATTAAGAGTAAAAAAACCCACCAAGTTGTTATCACTGGCTCTTGTCCTCTCACCCTCATAAACCTTAATTAAGACAGATGATGGGTAATCTATACTAGTCAAATATACTTGTTTCTTCCTTGCGGGAATGGTAGTATTCCTAGGAATCACCACATTCATAAGATCTCCTTTTGTAAATATACCAAGTGACAGAGGTGTAACATCCAATAGCACTAAGTTTGGAACAATCCTATTGCTTTTACTCAACAAAGAAGCCTGGACAGCTGCACCATAAGCAACAGCCTCGTCCATAACATCTATTGCGGGAATGGTAGTATTCCTAGGAATCACCACATTTTCATTGATTATTCGCATAACATTGAGACCAGCAATGGCACCAGCATCTTTAGTAGCTTGACGCTGAGAGTCATTGAAATAAGCAGGAACAGTAACAACAGCATTCTTTACCGGTGACTCCAAATATGCCTCTGCAATCTCGCGCATCTTTGTGAGGATCATGGATGAGATTTTCTCGGCAGATATTTGTTTTTCCTTATCCTTGTATGAAACAAGGATCATCGATTTGTCATTAGTACCAGCAATGACCTTGAATAGCCATAACATTAGATCATTTTGAATAGTGGGATCACTATATCTTCTACCAATCAGCCTTTTCGCATCTGAAAAAATAAAATAAAATTAAAATTAATAGTTTTCTCTTCTGACTTTTTTAAGTTTTCAAATTTCTCTTTCGATTAGCTTTCATTCCAAATTATAGAATTAAGACGTTTTCCTGAAAGGTAACTCTGTAAGTGTCGTCATCTTAAATGCAAAACATCATTCATGCATGTTGTTTAGTACGAGTTAGGTAAGAATAATCCATTAATAATGTTAATAAAACTTAACATTCAGAGAGAAAAAGGTTGTGTGAATTCAATAAGTTAGTGACTAATTTGAATAAAGATGAGTTAGAGAATGAATTTGAAAACTAAAAAATAAAGTATATTTTGTGCCACAAAATAAATAATGAATGTTAAGTTATAATTTGTTCATCTCAAACCAAACACAGAGATAATAAATGTAGACATTTAAATGAATCCACAAACAAAAGAATATCCATTTATTACCAAAGACAGTGTTGGTGGGGTTTGAGGCAGCCTGATTCTTAGCAGCATCGCCAATCAACCTTTGATTGTCAGTGAAAGCAACACAAGAAGGAGTGATATTGTTGCCTTGGTCGTTGTGGATAATCTCCGCACGATTGTGTTGCTCTTGCCATACTGCAACACATGAGTATGTCGTTCCAAGGTCGATTCCTACCGCACATCCTTCATGTTGTTTTGCCATTCTCTGTCAAGTGATTATAGAATGAGTTCAAAAGGTTTCAGTCAGATATATATAGGAAGTCATATAACAATGTGGAAGAATTCAAATTGAGAAATAAATATATGAAAACGAAATATAAGTCATATAAACAATTAGAGTATAACAAATATCAAACATATTCATCTTTTATATGGGACCCGCACACTAAAAATTACATATTCTAAAACCAAATGTTTGGTTGGAAAGAGAAACGCTATGTAGTGAGTTTGTGAGTTCAGCATTCAAGAACAAACTCAAAGAATAGAGATAACATTTTTACCTTAAATTAGGAGTGTTATACAAACCGATTCAAATCGTGGTGACCGACTCCAAAGCACGGACACACAATTCAGTGAAATATTTGCATGTCGGACACTTGTCCGACACACGTCCGACACGCGGACAACGTTTGGGGACACACGGTCAACTCTCCGACACGTTCTGACACGCAGTCAACTTTTTTCGACACGCGGTCAACGTTCGGACACGTTTTTTTTTTTTAAATCTTAATTTTATTTTCTTAACTAAATATAAAAGAAATAATTTATAAATTAATTTTTTCCTGTTATGAAATTTGACATGAAAAATTAACAAAGTACAAAAAATTATTTATATTTATATTTATGTTATGAAATTTAAATATTTGATTGGTTATATGACTTATTATGGACTCTTATATGTATTAAATATGAATTATATGATATATATTAAATTTTTTATTTAATATCAAAACATGTCCCAACGTGTCAAAATGTGACATTTTTTAGAATTAACGTATCAGTGTGTCGTGTCGTGTCCTGTGTCCGTGCATCATAGGTAGGGATGTTAACGGGCCGAGCCGAGCCGAGCTTTGATCTTAACGGGCCAAGCTTGTATTTAAACGTGTCCGACTGGCCTTAGCCTGTTACCTGTTACGAATATAATATTGGCATGTGGCCTGGTTTATTTACAAAAAATAAAAGCATGTGTGAAGCCTGTCTTAGCCTGTTAGCATGTTAAAGAATAAAAATAAGAGAACAGAATTTCACAAAAAATCAATTTTCAGATAGAAACCTTAGCTTCCAATTTGCAGCAATAATTTACAAAGTCTACAATAAATAAAAAAATTAAAGTGAGAGAAGGTAGATAACAACTTATATTATCTTAGCCCATTATAAAAAAAGTGCCAACAAAAATAAAAGTAAAATAAATAAAATAAAAAATAAATTGACACAAATGAGCAGTGCACGGTGGAATGAATGAGTTTTTGTGGGTTTGTTTGTGTGAAGGAGGAAGAAGGATAATATAGAACAACACTAGTAATTCCATAAATATACATAAATTCAATATATTTCCAAATAGCATAATATAGAACAAAATCATTCAAAAAGTCTGTTAAACCAATAAAATGGGGTGAAATAAATTGATGAGAGAGAGTTATTACAAGTAGTATAAAAAGTATAAATAAATATTTATATACTAGGCTAGCCTGGGAGGCTCTAAGGCCGAGCTTCTGAATTAGAGTCTGAGGCCTTTTTATTAAACGAGTTTTTATACAAGTTCAAGCCTGGATCCACCACGAGCTTTTATTAAACGAGCTCAGGCCTTTACGAGCCGAGCCAAAGGCCCCTGAAAGGCCCCTGACTCGTTTACCACCACCCCTAATCATAGGTGACCGAATCGAAAAACTGATAACCGAAAACGGATAAACCGAAACTAAAAAAAAACCGCAAATTTTAATTAGATTGTATCGGTTTTCGGATTGGTTGATGAAAACCGATCCAATCCAAACCGATCCAATATATTAATTCTCCTTTACCTACTTGGGCTTTTCCCCAATCATAGACCAAAAATTTCTAAACTCAAGACCTATTAACCTATCAACTAAACTCAAGAAAAAATCTAGTCACATCTCATCAACAAAATTTTATCTGTGTAGAGTTTCATATCTCATTATTGCCCAAAACAAAACTATATTATCAATTACACAAAAAAAAACTATATTATCGTTTATTGATTGCATTTGTATTTCAAAAAAAAAAATTACAAAGTCAATATATACAAAAAATGTTATATGCACAGTAATTATAAAATAAATTTTAGGATTTTTAAAAAATTAAAAACCGATCCAATCCAAATCAAAATAAATTGGATTGGATCGGATCGAATTTGAAAAAAAATCGAAACCGGATGGATGATTATATAATCAAATCGAAGGTATTGGATAAGATGATTTTTACCTTTAACACCGTGAATGAAAAAAACAATTGTGATTCTCTCTGGCCTGTTTTGCTTTCAAAGCTTCTCTTCACAATAATTTTTTGGAATACTCAAAAACTACCTTATGCTCTATCGAAGTTATATTTCAACTCAGTTCTGACCGTTTTGACATTTTTTCTTTTTTCAATGGGATAGGATATTGTGACACCCAAGTTATGTTACACCCATGTGACACCCAGTCAATCTCACCGTTAGATCGCTTATGTTGATCCAACGGTTATATTTATTTCCATCTTTGTATGATCATGATTTCCCAAATTTAATATTTTATATTTATTTCTACCTTTGTATAGTTATAATTTCCCATATTTAATGCTTTCACTTTAAATTTAGGAAATCATGACCATACAAAGATGGAAATAAATATAACCGTTGGATCAACATAAGCGATCTAACGGTGAGATTGACTGGGTGTCACATGGGTGTAACATAACTTGGGTGTCACAATATCCTATCCCTTTTTCAATACTAAAACACATTGAAATTTTGGCTTAACAAACTGATAGGGGGTGATCAATAATCAAATATTCAACAAACAATATTTGAAAGAAGTTTTAAAAATAATTAAAATAGAAAATATGAAATTACAAAACTAGGGATAAAGATATCTAATCAGAGATAGATCAATGGTGATAAAAGAAGAGGAAGAAGGAGAAATATGGAATCATAATCATAACTGCTTGAGATATCTTTATCTTCGGCTACTAAATCATAACCGCACAAAGATAGATCAATAGTGATAAAGGAATAAGAGAAAAATGGAATTATAATCATTCAAAGGTGAATCAATTAATAAAAGAAAATAAATAAATAAAATAACATAATTTTTGGGTGGACGGAGATAAATATATCTCAAGTCGCTTGATATATATATATATATGGGAAATATAAGAATTATGTTGCAAGAATGACACTTTTCATTCCTGCAACAAGGATCCGGCAACGTATCTTGAGGATACGGCGCCGTATCCTGATTTTGGTTTGACTTTTTTTTAAGCGTGGGACCCACACTTGATTTGTGTGTGCAGGAAAATGGTCTTGTCATGTGACATGACAAAAAGCGAACCCTATATATATAAGGGAAAATATTTCTCAAGCTGCTTGAGATAACATTATCTCCTGCCACTAAATCATAATCATTCAAAGGTGAATCAATTAATATAACGAAATAAATAAATAAAACGTTTTTTCTGCAGTTAATGCAGATAAGTTATCTGCAATAAGCCTCATACGATGTCGTTTTGGGGGAGAAATCATGATTTTTTGTAATTTTAACTTATTTCAGGGTTATTGTAGTCTTTATAATTATAATTTTTAATATTTCAATCCCAAAACGATGTCGTTTTAAAAATAAATGCAGATAACTTATCTGCATTAACTGCAGAAATATTTTTATGTATATATATATATATATATATATATATATATATATATATATATATATATATGTAGGATCCTTTGACACCGGTGTCAAATTTCAAATTTGACACCTCATCTGAGAGTCATTAAATCAAAAAATATCAACGACTCTAATTTGTAAGCATGTGACACCATTGATATTTTCTGATCTAACGGCACTTAGATGAGATGTCAAATTATATATATATATATATATATAGGATTCTTTGACACCAGTGTCAAATTTGAAATTTGACACCTCATTTGAGAGCTGTTAGATCAAAAAAGATCAACGACTCTGATTATATATGGTAAAATCATTTCTGGAGGCGCTTTACGTACAACAACGACAGATGTATGGTTATGATTCCCCACATTTAATGCTTTTATCCTTTGTATGGTTATGATTCTCCGCGTTTAATGCTTTCAGTCACTGGACCGTTAAGTTCTCCGGCGAGAACATAGTGCACTAAATATTATAATGGTGTTCTCCCGAGAGAACATAGTTATAATATTTACTATAATTGTGTGTTCTCGCAGGAGAAGCATAACCCTATATATATATATATATATAACCATTAAATCATAGAGAGAGAATGCTAAAAGTTTTTGAAAAAAGAGAAAATGTTGATCCAATGATTATTAGATAGGTAGTGAGTTGGTAGTAGAAAATTTTGGTAGTAAAAATATCCCTCCTCTATATATATATATATATAAGTATTTAAGTGACGTGGCACCTCACTACTGATATAACATTAAGGAAAAACTCTAACGAGCTAGCAGTAAGCTAACAGAAAGCTGAAAATAGACACTAGCTATACCAACTTAACTTCACGTGAGAAATAGCTGCTAACAGAAAGTTAAAGCTAAAATGTCTCCATGCTGTAGTGTGATAAAAAAAATAGCATAATTCCCCCACCCTCTTTGAAATCATAATCTCGGCTTCCTGAAGCATTTTCTCAATTTATTCAGTTGACCTTCGAAATCGATGGCCACAGCTTTACATCATTCTGAATAATGAAAATGATATATTTGCTTCCATTTAACCTCTTCCTTTCATTAAAGTTTTGTTCTTTGTTAATTGATACCTCATCAGCTCTAACAAGCCCGTTTATTATTGTTTTTTAAAAGTATTATTTTAATCAAAAATAAATTAATAATTTGTTAAAAAATAAATAAATAATTTTAGTGCTTTTACCATAAGCTAAAAAGGATAACTCTAAGAAAGAGTTATAAAAAAAACTTCATTCAATGAAAATTTATGTAAAAGGCTAAATGGCAGAATCTCAAATATGAAAATCCAGTGTATATATACTATACAGAATTATTTTGAATGGCCGATCACACAAAACAAATTATTAAAATTAAAATATTTATAATAATAGGTGACATTAAAATTTCCTTCTATTACATGCTATTCTGAAGTCTTAAACAAGACACAATAATTGAATATTCAGCCAACATGTAATCGAAGAAGCAAAACAAGCAGCACCAGACCAACATAATAGATGAGGAAGCTGGATAGATACACGCAAAACAAATTTGCAAGATTTTATTAATACTATTCCACGCCACTTTCCTCATCAGAACTACATTGGTTGATCTTGGCCAAAACGGATTCAAACATGATCTCTAGCTCCTTCAAATAGTTAACGAACACACATTCTTCTTCCAGCTGGTAGCCATCAACCAAATCTTTGCCCTTTGTAATTGCACCTTTGATCTTAATCTTATCAAGCTTGGGAAGCACGGAACTCACATACTCTTCCTTGATAACTTTCCTCATATTGTAAATGTAATCATCCAAGGCCTTCATTGCTTTAACCTTCTTCTGGTACTTAATATCTTCAGCTTCGTAAATTACAGCTTCCTTACACATTCTCTCAATTTCATCGGCTGATAATCTTCCCTTTTCATTTGTTATTGTAATTTCTTTCTTGCGGCTAGTAGTTTCTTCCTCAGCAGAGACGTTTAATATACCATCATCATCTATAGCTAAGCATACTTTGATTGGAAGGCCTCTGGGAGCAGGAGGAACCAAAAGAGTAAACGAACCAAGCAAGTTATTATCACTAGCTCTTGCTCTCTCACCCTCATAAACCTGAATAAAGACCGCAGATTGGTTATCTCTATCAGTTGAATACACTTCTTTTCTCTTTGCAGGAATGGCAGTGTTCCTCGGAATCACTACACTCATGAGGTCTCCTTTTGTGGATACACCAAGAGACAGAGGTGTAACATCCACTAGCACCAGATTTGGAACAAACTTATTGCCTTTACTCAACAAAGCAGCCTGAACAGATGCTCCATATGCAACAGCTTCATCCGGGTTGATACTCTTACAGATATCCTTCCCCTTAAAGAAATCTTGCATTAGTTGCTGCACCTTGGGAATCCTAGAAGAACCACCGACAAGAACAACGTCATCTACATTGCTCTTGTCCACCTTTGAATCAATAAGACACCTCTCTACAGTATCCATACACTTACTAAAGAGGTCAATGTTGAGTTGCTCAAACTTGGCACGAGTGACTGATGAAAGGAGGTCAATACCATCACATATAGCATCAACCTCAATAGTGGTCTCAGTGTCGTATGAAAGTACCCTTTTAGCCTTCTCACACGCAGTTCTCAACCTCCTCAGTGCTCTTGGGTTCTTACTAATGTCCACTTTCTTCTTCCTACAAAATTCCTGTACAAAGTGGTTCACCATTCTGTTATCGAAATCCTCTCCTCCAAGATGAGTGTCTCCAGCAGTGGCCTTAACTTCAAAGGTATCATCCTTAATCATGAGAATAGATACATCAAAAGTGCCACCACCGAGATCAAAGATGAAAATATTTCTCTCACCAACACAATTAGCTCTCTTCTGAAGCCCATATGCAAGAGCTGCAGCAGTGGGTTCATTGATTATCCGCATAACATTGAGGCCAGCAATGGCACCAGCATCTTTGGTAGCTTGACGCTGAGAGTCATTAAAATAAGCAGGGACAGTAATAACAGCATTCTTTACCGGTGACTCCAAAAATGTCTCTGCAATTTCCCGCATCTTCGAGAGGATCATAGATGAGATTTCCTCGGCAGTAAGGTGTTTTTCCTCGTCCTTATATTTAACAACGATAATGGGTCTGTCGTCAGTACCAGCAACAACCTTAAATGGCCACAGATTCAGGTCATTCTGGATAACAGAATCATTATATTTTCTTCCAATTAACCGCTTTGCATCTGCAAAAATAAAAAATGATGGTAACTTATAATTCTGTTAATTAAGGAAGTCATGCACTGTAGGAACAAAATAAGATCAATTACCGAAGATAGTGTTGGATGGATTGGTAGCAGCCTGATTTCTTGCAGCATCACCTATCAACCTTTGGTTGTCTGTGAAAGCAACACAAGAAGGAGTGATTCTGTTGCCTTGTTCATTGTGTATGATTTCAGCTCTATTGTTTTGCTCTTGCCATACTGCAACACATGAATAGGTCGTTCCAAGATCAATTCCAATACAATGCCCTTCATATTTTTTGGCCATACTCTTTCTGATGATCGAAGACTGTTCTCCAGAAAAATTCTATTCCGGTTGTAGAAGTGTATAGTTGAATATCTCTCTGTCTTTGTTTTTATATCTGTGAAATATGAAAATTAGATGAATGTGTGGATGATTAAAACGAAATGAATTTATTATCTTCCTCTTGAAAGTCACGATTCACGACTTAATTAGCCTCCTATATCATTGTATTACCTATGTCTCGATTTAATCACCACCAATATCTTTCAAGAAATCGAAATCCTGATTAGTTAATTAACATTTATATTAGTTACTTATTAATTATATTTAGTCGAAAATAATTATGGCCTGAACCAACTATTTTTTATAGCTAATCGATAGATTCCGTACGAAAAATTAATCTCTTTAATTTTAAGCACAGGTTCTCTGTATCGTTTAATAAATGGGAGGAAGACTGAAAAACTTAAAAGAGTCTCTTTGTTATCCACCCACCAGCTTTTATTGTTTTTAGAGTAAACACCATTTTTGGTCCCTGGCAATATTTACGAAATCTTTTTTAGTTCCTGGCAATAAAAGATGACCAAATTGGTCCCTGACAGTATGTAAAAAGGGCTACGTTAGTGACGGAGGAGTTGACATAAGGACTAATGTGGTCCTTTTTTCATAATTTTATGGACCAATTTGGTCCTTTTTTATTGCTAGGGACTAAAAATGATTTCGTAGATATTGTCAAGGACCAAAAAGGATGTTTACACTTGTTTTTTCTTGTTTTGTGGTTTTGTTAATATTAATTTGACATTTTTGTGACTTCTCGCTTTCTTCTTATAGTTTTGAAATAAAATAAAATAAAAAAATTAAAAGCACGCATAATTTTCTAGGATACGAGGAAAATTTGTATATGATTATTCTTAATTGCTCTTGTTTATGAATTTTTTGGGGCTTCTAGAGGAAAAATTGTATATGATTATTCTATTTATAATTGATACCTGACGTCAGATTTGACTTTTAGGGTACGTTTGGTATGCGAGATTCTCTGAGAATTCCGGGAAACTGAATTTTTTTAAATTTGTAATTTTTGAATATTATCGTAAACTGAATGCAAAAATCATATTTTTGAAAATCGAAATTTTTGGATAAAAAAAAATTTCTCCGGTACCAAACGTCCCTTAAGGAATTGGTGATCTAGCAAGCCCGTTTATTAGTGTTTTCTTAAAGTAGTTTTAATCAAAATATATTTGAAAATGTTAAGATATTTTAATACATTTTATGAATAAAAAATTAATTTTAGTGCTTTATCGTAAGTTAAAATGGATAACTCCTAAAAATAGTTCTAGAAAAATTTATAAAATGAAATCTTACGTAAAAGCGTAAATATAAAGTGCCTATACCAAAAACCAATATATAAATAATAGAGACGGCCGGCCCACCTCACCATCAAGGCTAATATTAACAGTACAAATTCAGCTTTTTCACCATTATAGTCTTTTTTTTTTTAATTAATTACTAAATTAATCCTGTTTGCAAATTATTTTAAAAATTTAACCTTTTCAAAAAATATAATATCAATCTGTCTCTGTTTGACCGTTGACCATGAAGCCTACCCGGTTACACCCCTACCTACCCGGGTATATTTTGAAATTTTTTACCTACCCGGGTATATTTCTTGAATCTAAAAAATGTTTGAATTATTTACCCGAGTAGGAAGAGGTGTACCCGGGTAAATAATAATTTGTCTTTGATGAGGGATTGATACAAACTCGGGTTGCACAAATGGAAAACACAAATGAAACGAAAGAAAAAGCAGAAACAATGTCACAAACACTTCCCAAACGTCATCTCTGCTTGGGGTTTTTATTGTTGACAAAATTAAAATTAAAAGTAAAAAGTAAAAAGAACAAAAAAAGAACACTCACCCCGGGCTCAAGCTTCCTCCAACACACCAGAAGATTACAAGAAAACTCTGTCTGTCCCGTGCACTGCACCACACAGAATCAAGATTCAAAGAAAGAACAAAAAAAGGATTTGTGTAGTTGAGTTCAAAAGATTACCAGAAGAAAAATCGATGAGGGAAACGGTTCTTGAAGAGGGCGCAGAGCGATTGTTTTCATACTTAGCTTTTGAGACGGAAACTGAATGCAACAAAGCATCTGTGTTGTCCTTCACCACTCAACAGGTTATGATTATTTACCCGGGTACACCCCTTCCTACTCGGGTAAATAATTCAAACATTTTTTAGATTCAAGAAATATACCCGGTAGGGAGGGGTGTATCCGGGTAGATAAAAAATTTCAAAATATACCCGGGTAGGTAGGGGTGTACCCGGGTAGGTAGGGGTGTACCCGGGTAGGCTTCATGGTCAACGGTCAAACATGGGCAGATTGCTGTTATGTTTTCTGGAGAAGTTAAATTTTTGAAATAGTTTATAAATAGAGTCAATTTGGTAACTAATTATTAAAAAAAGGCTATAGTAGTCAAAAAGCCGTACAAATTCACATATAATCAACAACATATTTCTTACAGGAAGAGGAACCATTGTTTTATTTTGTTCTGAATTATTTTTTTCTTAAAATTATTTTGTAGAATAGTAATAGGAATTATTGTTTTCTATGTTTTTTTTTGTTTTAAAAGTTAAAATTAAAACAAAAAAAATTCAGATATATTCTCTAAATTTAATTTTAAAAACAAAAAAATAGTTACTGTTTTTATTTTATTTTTACAAAACTGGAGTTTTCAAATGAGTTTTTTTATTTTTTTTGTTAACCAAAAAATTGTTTTTGAAAACAGTTATCAAACAAAGCCCAAATCTTAGTTATCACTATTTTGAAGTGCACACATCTCATCTCGTATAGTTTGTCTCCATCCCAAAGGAGATAACGTTTCACCTCAAGTGTTGTCTTACGAATAGATACAAAAGACAAAGAAATAAGACAAATAAAATGTGATTGAAAAAACGATGATAACTCATACTAAGCAATTACTTGGGTGGTGGACAAGAGTTATGAGTACCTTTATGGAAAGAAATGGATAAGTCAATGTAAGAGTGTGGGATCGAAGCTGTAGACGGAGATGACAATTGACAACGGCAATGAGTCCACATGCACTTTAGTATCAATAGTGTCAACGTCCTGGGCCATAGGCGGATCTGGTGCAGGGTCATCTGGAGGTGGTGGGGTATATTCAATCGAAATATGTGGTAACAGTGTCTACTTAAACCCTACAGTGGAGACGGTACGACTAGGACCCCAAACATATGAATGAACTAAAACAAAATGGAGACCAAGACCAACAACTAACTCTATTGAAAAACGAACTATAAGTGTGTTTTCCTAACTGACAGAACTCGCATGATAAGTTGGATAAATAGAGAAACACATCACCATCTTTTGAAGTTTACCAAAGCTTAGATGACACAGTTGAGCGTAAATAGTAAACAAATAATTCACAGCATAACACACTTGGAATGAGGTTGAAAGCTAATAAAAACTTCCAGAGAGGAGCTTTTATATATATATATATATATATATATATATATATACTTACTTTTTAGAATTCTCATATTTATTTTTCAATTTTAGTCATATTCTAAATTTGTATTTATCAAATTACTCTTCATTCTAATAATTTATTATAATAACAAATTATTTCTTCATTCCTCCTTTTAAAACCCTTAAGACAGCTTTATATAATCATCAAATAGTTTTTATTTCATTTTTTAAGAATTTTTTTTTACTTTAACAACTTAAAAGTAATTTCTAGCTTTAAAAAAATTTGTCAATCAGACTATTATTAGTTTATTTAAATTACATTATTTTCATTTTTCTTAATTTTTTTTTTCTCCATACTTAATCGTAAAGTCCGACAAGTCTCTACTTCCTATTCTTAGTCAATTTTATTTCATCCAGTTGTACCTAAATGATACGCGTATAATATTATATTCCTATGTTTTACCAAAAAAGAAAAAAGTAAAGTCTATTTTGGGTCCCTAATAAAAAATACGGTTCTCACCTAGTCTCTTACCAAAAGAAATTAGTCGTCTGGTCCCTATGAAATTCAAGTGGATCCATTTTAGTCCTTTTGAGGGACTAATGAGGGTCTTTTTTGAATTTATTAAGTATCACGATTTCAACTAAATGAGTTCACTTTGAATTTTGTAAGGACCTTAAGATTATTTTTTTTTTATAAGAGACTAAAGTGGATACAGTTTTATTTGTTAGAGACTCAAAATAGACTTTACTCAAAAAATATCATATTCGTAGAGCGAGTAGACTGTTGTATGGTGGTTTTTTTGGATAAACCATATATATTTTTCATATGAGATAATTCTTTTCGAGTCAAGAATATCTATATTATGATGGGGCTAATTTTTCCAAAAAAAAAAAAAATTTCACCTTCACAAAAACTTAAATCAATATCTTGCTTAAGCTGAATTAAAATAACTGGTGGTTCTTAATTGTTCAAAACTTTGCTTAATTAAAATGACTTTTATTAATTAATTTATTGAATAATTTATTATTTTTATCACTTATTCTTAATTAATTATTTACGCACTTAAATTTTAAAAAATACTTATTTAACTTATTAGGTAAAAATATTCACCTCAAATTTAAAATGAAACGTCCCTTTGTTGAAATCTACATAATCACACACGTAATCGCAGACTAGAAAAGAGAGAAAAGTGAAGACACTTTCATTCATTCAATATAGACTACGTCCTATAATATAAACTACATTCTCCTCACCGTATTCACTACAACACTTAGGGCATATTTGGTGCATAGTATAGGATAAGGCCTGATAGTATAAGACCTGATTAAATTTTAATACTATCCAGCGTTTGGTATGATATTGTATAAGATAATATCTTCCAATATTTTAAAAATTAATATATTAAAAAAAATTATTTTAATATATAAATATTGAAATGATATATTAGTTCTTGGGAATTGTACTTGCAAGCAATATTAATACATCAATCCCTTATCATGCCTAATCCACCACTCTTAGGCCGGATTAAGTTATACATC